TTATAAAAAAAAAGGTTATAATTTTTTTATTAGCTAAAATTTTTTTAATTAAATAAATCAATTAAATTTTTATTAAAAAATTATAGTTTTATAGTAAAATTAATTTTTTTTGATATTTTAAAAATTTTTTTAAGTCAATTTTACAAAATAAACATAAATTATACAAATTTAAAAAAATTATAAATTATAAATTTAATTTTTTAATAAAAGTTTTAATTATTTTAAAAATCATTTTTGAAAAAACTTTAAATCAATATTTTATAATAAAATCATTAATTTATAATCAATAAAGTTTTATAATAAATTTTATAAAAATTAAAAAAGAAAATAAATATTTGAAAAAAAAAATTCAAAAAATATACTAATAAAAAAAAAATATTTTTTGTATTTAATTACAAAAATAAGAAACAAATATATACTGTATATATATTTTAAAAAAAACAACAAAAAGGTATTGTTTATTTAGTTAATAAAAAAAGTGGTATTATTAAGAAAATGTATAAACTGTATTATCATAAAAATAACATTTTAATAAAATATTTGATTTTAGAATTAATAAAAAAAATAATGAAAAAATAAATAAATAATACAGTACAGTAAATTTTTTTATATAATTTAAAAACAGTATTTTAAGTCATATTTTTATTTCTAATTTAAAAATTTATAAAATGAATTTACTTAAAATAAATTTTTAAAAAAGAAATAAAATTTGATTTCAAGAAAAAAACTTCAATTAATTGTGTTAACTCAATATACACTAGACATAGGTTCATTGCATAAAGTAAGGATAAACAATCAATTATCAAGATATATATTTTTATCTTTAAAATTTGATATTTTTAGTTAAAATTAAATCGACTGTTATAAAGTTTATATTTACAGTATGTTAAAATTTCAAAAATTTTTTAGCTGTATAATATGATTAAGTAGATGGATTCAGAAATATCAAATTGATGATTGCATGCATTGTTAACAATTATTTTTATTCAAAATAATTTTTCCGTAGTATTATCACTTTTGATCTGAATGTACAAGCAGACTTTTTACATACAGAAAATACACGGGATTTAAAGTTTGGCATGTAACTTTATCTTGATATGATATCATAGTTACAAATTTCGTATTTGGAAATGACGTGTAGTCTTTTCCTTCGAGAAAGTATTTAATCATTCCAAATTGCTACTTTGTTCGGGACAGAACATCGCCATGAGATCGGCGCGAAAGATACAGAACCTTCGTAATCATGATCTTATCAAGCAGCATGCCATTCCAATTGCTTTAGGTGGACCAACGAATTACTATGACAAGCTATTGGAAAACATAGGTATAGGGTTAGTTGAATAAGAGAATTTGGTTGGTGCAGTAGTTGGCTGATCTTCTTTGAAATAAGGTTCGGCACGTTGTGTTTTAATCGGCGAGGCCTCGCATGGGACCGAGGAGTTTTATCAGGAACGAATTTTGATCACGCAACGGCTTATTGAAGAAAAAGGATTCAAGTAAGAGATTATTTGACTTGACTATCGATAGATAAGTTTTTCGACAGAAATTATTGATAAATTTCTATATAGCTTAGTAGCAGTTGAAGCTGATTGGCCTGATGCTTATAAAGTCAATCGTTACGTGCAAAACTGCAAGAACAACACAGCAAAGAATGCCGATGAAGCATTAGGTGATTTCAAACGATTTCCCACTTGGATGTGGCGCAATGAACAAGTTTTGAAATTTATCGAATGGATGAGGCAATATAATGACAAGTTGGCGAAAGAAAGGAAGGAGGACAATAGTCAAGTTTGTTACGAAAAAGTAGGAGATTTTTTTTTTTATATTTATTTTCATACCATTTTTTTTCTACCATCATCTTTTTCAATTTTTTTTCTTTCGTTAGGTTGGTTTCTACGGTTTAGACTTCTACTCCTTGTTTACCTCAATGGGTGAAGTAATTCGTTATCTTAAGGGCGTCGATTACGAATCGTATAAAGAAGCTATCAAGGCGTAAATATTCACTTAATAATATGATTAAGTTATCGGACCCGCATCTAACCGTTTCGGTGTTTTTATCACGAATGTGTAGGTATAGTTGCTTTGACCATTTCAACAGGTCAACCGAAACATATTCGTTCGCCAATTATTTCAACATCATGCCATCCTGTGAAAAAGAGGTCATTAGCGTGTTGAGCAATCTCGTGAGAAAGCATGGAGAATATCTTTCAAAGCATTCCGACGAAGAGACTGAAGAGCTGTTTCAGGCCGAAGTTAACGCTATGGTTGTTTGTGATGCTGAAGAATATTATCGTTGTATGATGGATGGCGGGGCTGAAGGCTGGAACAAGTAAATCGGTAGTCAATATTATCGCGTAAAGAGAAATATCTGCTTAAAATCAAACCTCGGTTCATTTTTAGACGTGATACCCATATGATGAATATCCTGCAGATCTTGATAAAAAAATATGAAAGAGCTCTAAAAGGAAAAGAAGCTAAAGTTGTTGTTTGGGTAAGTCACATATTTTCACCAATAATGTCGATCAAGAAACGTTAATGTCATCCTAATATTCTCGAAAGTAGGCTCATAACAGGTAAATAGACAATGGTTTGGACATTCGGATCTTTGGACTGCGTATGCAAGCTAACCATTAAAATAACGTTAGCCATATTGGCGATGCATCTCAAACGGATCAAGGATGGGCTCGTGGTGAAATTAATATCGGTCAACTAGCCCGTGAGCGACTCGGTCATAATCGTGTCTTTAATATTGGGTTCACTACTCACTTTGGAACAGGTATGGTTGTAACCGAGTATTTCTTCAATTATGACTAGGGACATTAGTTTATGATTCTGCATCGTTCACGACAGTCACTGCAGCTTCGAATTGGGGCGCTTCAAGGGAGGTTAAAACAGGTTGTATCTATTACACACATTCCATTGGTTTTTCGGTATATTTATATATTTTGTGATGGGAATTCTAGTAAATCCATCACGGAAAGACTCTATCGAAAATATTTTTCATACCATCGCTGGAGAAATCAACGGACAAAACTTTATCCTACCGTTCACCAGAGTCACACCGGAGAATAATGAAAAAACACCGATCTCTTTAGACTTGGTTACAGATCTTGCACGTGAACCTTTCCTACTTCAGCGTGCAATCGGTGTAATCTATGCACCGCACACCGAACGTGCATCCCATTATTATCAAGCAAAGACCTCGAAGCAATTCGACGCAGTGATTCATATCGATTGGACGAATGCGCTGAAGCCATTGGATGAGGTCGAAAAAACCGAACCTGAAGAAATTATGCACGAGGTGAAGTCGTTATGAATTATAAAATACTCTGTACTCAAAGAAACTGACGTAGTGGTTTTTTTTTTTGCATAGCTACCTGAAACCTTTCCAACGGGTGAATGATCTTAATAAGATATACCTAATATTTTTTGCTATTCACATACAGCATTTAAATGTCAGCAATATGACCAATGAGATTGCTTCGATATTATAATTAATTTCGATGTGCCTTTTTTAAATTATCGCAGTGTTCTTAGTTAGGTTTATGTTGGCGGAGATGTCATTCTTCAACTTGAAGATTTTCTATTTTAAGTTTTTCTCCTGAGATATAAAATTGGATTGCAAAATGCATGCACCATTTCACTTCAACACGTATCGTTATAAAAAAGTTAACAGAAGATCCGGATACTTGTTTTCTGTTTACAGATAAGAAAAAAAAAAAATCTTTAATTTGCAAAAACACCAAGTAGGTGATAACAAACTATCGATGGTTCATAAATAGCTAATGCATATTCATAAACAGCTAAGTTAAGAAGAAGAATAATAAAAATTTTTGTAATTGAATTTTAGATGTGCTATCTGGACCTATAAAACCATAATGGTAGCTATTTTTTTTGAAAATAATTGATTAGGTTTTAGATTTGTTACTTAAACCTGTAAAACTATACAGTAACTATTTAAGAGTTGAATAAGGTATGTAAAAAATCTAGTATTTTTACATGACTATAATGTTGATATTGTTGAAGTAACTAAAAAAACCATTGGAATATTTTTGTTTAATAATAATATTATTGTTATTATAAATAGGTTTGAACTGGTTTGATTGTTATAAGATATAATTATTGAGTTTTGATTAGTTATTAAGTTTGCATTGATTATTTGAAAGAGTAGAACTGATTTTGGTTTTTGATATAATAAAAAATTTTGTAGAATTTTGAGTAGTACAGTATTATATATTATGAAATAATTGAGAAAGTTTAATTGAAACAAGCAAAAGATCCAATAACTTTGCTTGAATATATATGACTTTAGAAATATATTAACAATATTGAAGATTAATATGAAGATAATTATCATAATTTATGAAAAAAAGAAGATACATAAAGACAAAGTTATAAAAAAGGACTGCTATAAGCCTTTTCCCATACAATCAAAGAGCAAGCAAGACTTCCAAACTTGTTTGATCTTTGACTAGAGGTTCTATTCCGATATAACAATAATCTTTAAAGTCTCTATATCCTTGAGCTTATGATATAATTGATATATTGAAGAGAAAAAAAATAATAATTTTTTTAAGAAAATTATTATAAAAGAAAATTTTCAAGAAATTAATAATAAACAGGTAAGAGTTTTTTTTAATTTTAAAAATTTTTAATTTATTTTTTTTTATTTTGGTTAATTAGCTAAACCTTGCTATAGCATGTTTTATTATTTAGAGTCATATATATATTTCATGTATTATAGAAATTACTATTTATAATCCAACTACAACATTGTATGACTATATCAATTTTAGTTCATATTGGCTTGTTGCTGTCGGCATAGCTTACAAGGGGTAAGTGCTGAAGCTAACATATCAAAATCCTGTTAATGTTGCAAATTATATTAATCTATTCTATTTTGGATTTTATATAGAATTAAGGAGAAGTTAAAATATAGCACACTGGAGTGAATAGAACCTTATTAAAGAAATCTTCTACATCCTATGCTATATTAACTTCTAAGTTATCCAGATAGTTAAGAACTTATATTGAATAACTGTCCATAATGTTGGTTTAACTGCAGTTGTCTAACTTAAAAAGACAACCATCAGAATAGTTCTGGAAAAAATTTTTATAATTACTTTTGTAGAAAGAGATACTTTAGATATTATGAAGAAGAATTACAAAACTATCATTACTCAAAACCAGACTCCTTCTTTACCTTTTTAACTATTTTTTAATAATCATTATAACACTAACTGGATGATCGTCATGCTACAACTTCTTTTATAGCTAGATTACAACCTCAACACCTGTTGGATCAGTGTATAAATTGGTTTTTTATGAGAAACAGCACTTAACAGGTTATAGTATCAGATACCATTTTTAATCCAATTCAACTATTTCCATATGGGATTTAACTAATATCTTGTAATTTAATCTGTAGAGTGCTAACCACTGCACTACTAATCCACAAGTTTAAAATTTTTAATTTATATTTTATATTTAATTAATAGATACATAATAAATAAAAAAAATTATAATATATAATAATAATAATATAAAAAACAAATATAAAAATATAAGATAACTCTTTCCGCTGATTCTTTTGCCAACCCAAAAAACAGATGTTCTCAAAAAAACTTTTTGTTTTTATGATAATAAAGTCTATACAC